CCACAATCATCGGGTAGATATTCGTTTCCCGCCCAAACATTCTATTTCCTCGGATGCTGAGTATGAGTTTCATGAAAAATGCGTGGATTTTCATCACTTCTTTGTTTTTTTTATTCCGATATTTTCCAGGTGGGAAGTTTTAATTGGAACACCCTGTATGTAGGGTTTTGCAATGAACAAAATGCTACGCGTGACCACACGTCTTCTTTTTGGAGATGCAGATTGAAAAAGTATTATTTCTTTTTATCCTCTTATTTCACAAGCCTTCTTAAGGTAGTCGATTCAGAATCGGTATATTCAACATTTTTTTGACGAATTACCGTTCGAAATACTCCACAGTGTGATACTTTTTTTCCAGAACCACAAATTCTTTAACCCTTCTCTTAGAGGAAAAACAACTTTTATATCATTTGATTTTTTTTATCTCCTAAATCTTGAACTGTTTTCATAATATCTTCAGAAAATCGTAATAATATTATAAATCTGGTAATCTAACTGGTTAACAGTACTACCATTGATATAAATCTACCCACTAAGAAAGTAAAACCAATGAAAATAGTTGAACAAATGAGAAATTTGTATCACCTTGTATACGAGGTGTTGCGGAAATTAGTGCAAAATAAAATAATAAAACGTAAAGGCAATAGGAAGATTTTTTTCCATGTTTATCGTCTTTTGTTTTTGATACAGATGATTTTATTTGAAACCACATTCTTTTCTGAAAAGCAATGTATTTCATTGAAATTTAGTTCAAACATATTTTTTGGGTATTAAAAACATCAGTTTTGACAGTTTTTTGTTGTCTGATAGAGGTCGCTAGCTATTATCTCTCACAGTGACATTTTATGACTTCTTTGAGGTTAGGATTTTTATAGCGTATGTTTAATATTGTAGCACAATCTTATTCATTTTACACGAAAGATGTGCTCTTGTTAAAATCGCCGAAAACGCAATGGACTGTCCCAGTGTCGACCAAATTCTACTCCTTTGCGTAAAGGAAACGGAAAAAATTATTATTGCTGAACCTTGTTAAGTTTGCGACAGTCAATTGAGTTTTTCCTGAAAACGACGCCTATTCTACGATTTTAACGAGGCTTTTTTTGTGTACAATGATATTTTAAAAACCTAACCTCAAAAAAGTTATGTCACTGAATCAAATGTTATCTAGCACCCCCTAGCCGTAGCAGATGATTAAAAACTAGCAACACTAACATATTGGTTATACTCTTTCAATTCAACATGTTTTTTTATATAAATATAACATTTATAAAATTTGAAAAACAAAAGGCGATAGATTCATGGTCATAGAAAAAACCTTATTTTTTTAAATGTTTTATTGCAATCTAAATTGTTTGCAGTCTTTCTTGCTACACACGTGAAATTTTTTATTTTCAGTCATTTGTACAATTATGTCGATGAAATATTGCAACTCTGAATTTTCCAGTTCTTTGGCACATGAATGCGTGTTCCCATGTCCATTTTCTGAGCATATAAAATTACGAAGTACGTTTAATAAAAAAATTTAATGATATGGGAATTATGGGGTCCGGAACTACACTTGTCAGACAAAAAATTAATCCGCAAATCGACTTAAAACAAACGTTTTAAGAGTAAACAAAGCGCCTGATTTAATTACCCAGCCTGATGCTTTCGGAACAATAGAATTGTTTCGAATTTGCTAGAATTGAATCTCTCGATTACTGGCATTAAGTCGGCCCATTTTTTTTTTTTAATTGAAGCACGTTTCACCGAAGAAAATACGCAACATGCATACGAATTCTGATAGAAAATATTTCAAAACGAGAATGAATGTGCTTTATATTAACTAGTAAGGAATATGCAAGTGATAAGTGGCGTAAATCATCGTCAAAATCAAGATAAAATTGCTTGCAGGTAATGTTGCCCACGTGTTTGAATATTTTATGGATTTGCGTCCGCGATCATGATTTATTTGTAATCTTCCCTTATTGAGCTGATTCCGATCGCGTTTATTGAATATAGAATATACAGGGTGGCCTAGGCTTTAATTGGGAAACTTTACCAGGATATAACAAGTTATTTCAAGCAAAAACTTTCAAATGGACGTGGATCATACTCCGTTTCGTTTTTGAGATACAGGGTGTTTAGGCCAAGCAAATTAGATTTTTACTCGAAAAAAGTCCTATCCGCGAGATTATTGTAAAATTGTCTAAAGTCTAAAGGAACATAATACAAGACATCTCTCATGTCGTGAGAAAAAACTTTTATTAGCAAACTTTTCTATTTAAACAAATAAGTGAGGAAAACAGTTTTTTCACTTTGCAGGGAAAACCATCAATTTTAGCGAAAAGTGACTCAGACAGCTTGTAGGGAGTAAAATTATCTACAAAATGATACTTGTTAAATTAAAATCGGTTAATAAACAAAAAAGTTATTGAACAAAAACCAGAAAAGTTTCCATTTCTTAATTTGTTTATAACTATCGCATTTATTGTTAAAATTTTATAAAACCTATGACAAGTTGAGGGTTTTGTCATACTTCAAAAGTGTGCCAAAAGTGGGCGCTGTAGGTGCGATAGTTTTCGCACAATTCTATTTGTTTATAGCGGAGGCTCCAAAAGTTATGAACTTTATGCCTCTGTACAGGCCTTAATTTTCAATCAAACATGATTCTGAAAGCGTCATTGTAGTCTTAAAGACGCAATTAAGCGACCTATTAAAAAATATCGCCGCTTTTTTGACATTAACATTCTCAAATTGTGCATTAAAAAACCGTGCGTTTTTCGCTTATAAACAATTTGAATAACATTGTTGCTATTTATGCTATCTCACCGAAAATAGGTGCAATGGATAGCTGGAAAAAAAATACAGTTTTAAAATAAAAAAAGTGCCCTCTACGACCAACAGGAGCCAAGATAAGAATTTTTTTTAAAAAAATCGTAGCGCAATTGTTTATAAATATTAAGACTTGAATTTTTCGCAAAATAAAGTTTACGACGTAAACTACGAATTCCCGTGAATTGCATTGAAAAATGTGGATAATAATAAGTTCAAATTGATGCGCGCTGTAAATTTTGCAATATATCGGCTTCTATTCATCGTAGAAACCTTTTTTTTTATCACCGGGGTAGCTCGACGAAAAAATAACAATGGGTATATTTACGAATTCGTAGAATAGCCCTGAACCCCAGGAAAAATGCATCTTTAATACTTATTTTTTTTTTAATTTACAAAAATGTCGCAAAAATTAAAATTTCAATTTCGGAAATATTTTACTGTTATTAAATAAATAAATGAAGCTATCGTTCATGTAAAAAGTTATTTTTTACATATTAAGGCAAAGCAAACTTGTTTTTTCAATATTTTGTTAGTTATTTAATTACGATTTAAATGTAAAATTAAAGTAAAAATTCATAAATTATTTTCAAATATCTATTTCTCTTTTATTTTCGCTAATTTTCCTGGTGAAGTTGAATATTTGGCAGTAAGAATTCGGAGCTTCAGAATTTCGAGATCAGTTAATAAAATTCAATTTGTACCAATGGGATTTCTGAGAAAAAAAAATATGTTGCATTTTTGTTCGAATCAGTTACATCGAGAGATTTAACAATTCGGGGAAAAACGAAAAAATTGGAAAGATTGATGTATTCTTTTTCGAAACAAAAAATTGGAAACAAATTTTTAAATCTGGGCCACCCTGTATTTTGATGGATTGATGAGATACCATGTGGCGAACAAGTACGATATTACGGCCTTGGCAGGCTTCATCAAACTGATAGACTGTGTTCTGTAATTAATGAAAAAAAATATTTTTAACTGTTATGTACCTGTAACATAATACAATGTGTTTGAGCAACTACGCCTTTACGTATTTTATTTTTGTTTTTAGAGTAATTCCATAGCCTATTCCTATTAGAAAAAACTTCGCCAATAATCAAGAAAAACAAACATATTAGGCATTTTTTTTAATTGGTAGTTTACAATTATCAGAATTTATTTCTGATAGTGCATATTCTTCAATAAGTACAATTATTTACGTAATTTGTAACGAACGAGTTTGTAATTTTTTCCCTTTGGAAAGAGCATTAATGTAAATATAAATTTACGTGACTGCAAGTCACAATGAGGCCACTGCGTCACGAATTATTTACATCGTCCGTTAAAGGTTGGCAGTCTTTTGTGTTCTAAACAGGTAACTTCCTGTATATTTCCAAACCGAAGGAAATCAACGATACGCAAACTTGATATGTTGTAGTACTAAATTCCGATTTGTTCGTTTATTTTTTTTATTGTAAATTTAAACGGAAATAAGTATTTTAATGGAACTAAAAAACGGTTCAAAATGAAAAAGAATTCGTAACTTTATTTAATTATTTAGGGGCATTCAAAATATTTGGAAAAGTACATCTACCTTCAAGAATAGTTTCCGACGCCAGCACAACTATTTCGGCGACAAAACGGGTCTGTGTTGTTAAATAAAAGATTGGAATAGGATTACTTAATGAAGAAATCTGAAATGAAATAATTTATTTATATCCGGTAAACATTGTTATTGGCCGCAATTTTAAGCCGGCAATGCCGCATTGTTAGTAAAGTTTTCGTCCCGTCTGTGTATGACGTCAGCAGAGAACTATAGTAGGTTCATATTCGATGTAAAGTAAAAAATCATTGCCTGTCAGGGGATCCAGTGCCATACGCTTTTAAAGGATTTAGAAATTGAATAATTTCTTTATACATTATGAAAGGACGAAGGGATCAGTTCACATCTGGCACCCTTGTTCCTACAAAAATTCCTTTATTCTCATAAACTATTTATTTTAAATGTAATTTATTATAAATCCAATTTGTTTTTTAATTTCCACATATGTACTACATTTTACCTCTGTACGCGCCACTGTTGTTTACTTGTTTTTTGGAGGCGCTCTCTGTTTTACGATCGAGCTCGACAGAATAAAAGTACACAGTAAATTGTGGTAAATAATCGTATGAAAATGTTTAAATCTTCGTACCCTTTGCTTTAGGTCAGAGAAAGGGGCTTTTCCTTGGTGGAGATGGACACAGAGCTGTGGAGCGAGGAACCCACCCCTTCAGCAAGCCGCCACGGCAGTCAGGACGGAGAAATTTCCGAACTTACCAAAGAAAGCTGGGAGGTGAGTCATGTTTTTCTATGTACTTTTTTTTCATTTTAATTGATCGAATTCCTTTAGTGAAACGTTTTACGAGACTCACAATCTACGAAGTTTCCTTCTTGAGTAGTTTTAATCGTATGTTGTGGGTCTTTTACGCTTTTTACCCCTTCGATGTGTTTAAATAGCAATATGCCAGTGCCAGTAGTTCAGATGTACCACTGAACAGATCGATTATAAATCGACAAAAGCATGATTGCAATCGCGAGCCTTGATTCAAGAAAAACTGTCGGTGAAAGTAGAAAGGGAAAACAATGCCGCACTTTTTCTGAATCGATTGGCGCATACCAGATGTATTTTTTTAATTTGCCATTATGAAATACCGAGCAAGGTCGATGTTGTTATTATTGTAAGTAAATAATTTTTTTAAAGCAATACAAAATTTTAAACAATCGTTTCTTTGCACTACGGCAGATTTAAATCAGCGAAATACCATTTGTTTTTTTCCTGAGTATTACAGAAATCGGTTAATAAATCGAGGAAAAAAGTTAGATTAAAATGTTTAATCGAATTTTCTGAAGTAATAGTCTCATCAGTCGGATTTACTGTTTTTCTTTTAATATAGTCGGCCTTGGAAACTTCTTTATTATGACATACTGGCACTGGCGGATTGTCTTTAATGTCACATTTTGTATCCCCTCAAAAAAAAAAAAAAACAACGCAATATCGACAAGTGGTGGTAAAATGACATTCGCTTGTTTGGGTGCAGCTTATCAAGGCCCCCTATGTTAAGATCTACAGCATCATCAAGACGCAGACAATGTCGGCAGACGGCAACGATGAGGTGACTGATTTAAAAAAAAAGCAACGCACGACACCACAAGCCACACTATATATATTCATAAATATTTCATCATGTCTTCTTGACGTGTCTGTACTTTATTTGCTCCCCTCCGGGTATGTTACGCCCACACATCGCGGCTAAAAGGAATGTAGTGCACACAAGGTACTTCGGGATTTAAAATATTTGCTTATAATGCGTGTAAACCTGCTACGCGAGAAACTATTGTCAAAAAAATGTACAGGGTTTCTCATGGTTTAATGGGTTAACAACATTCTGCATTTCTTCAAAGTTATACTGAAGTCACTTTTGATCTTTAAAACAACAAATCAGGAGTTTGTTTTCTCAAACTGCGTCATAGAAAACCAGGAATACCCAGAAATTGTTGTTACCCAGAAATTTAACAACGAAGACACACAAACACACTGTCATTAAACACAACACTACACAAGACACTAAATTAAATGCCCCAAGTGCAGTATAGTTTTTTAAACAAGATATGCTCACTTCTTGGATCAAATTGGACACCCTGTATAAACAATGAAAAAACAATTTGCTGTCGTTTCTCGATCTTGAATAAATTATTAACAGAGTTAGTCGTTTCCGTGCCGTTTCGAGCGGGTTAAAATATGGTTTGAGATTGGGTGTCCAAAAGGAAATTAGTGAACGAATTTCAAAAAGCGTTTTACATCGGCAAGCGTCGTTTATCGTCATTTATCCGAAACTGTGCTAAAGGGGAGTTATTATAAAAATTAAATTCGTTCGTTTGAATGCGAAGCCGGAACAGAGTTTTCAATTCAACTGTCGAAAGCGGGGTTTTAATTAAAACTCGAAATTCGGTCTTCGGGCTCGACAAATGCGTCCGTTATAAATCTAAAGCCTCGGTTTAATCGTGGGAGTGGAACAAATGTCGGACTTTTCAATATTGGCGATGATTAATGATGTAATCCACTGATTCATCGCCGGAATTGTGTTGATCGGCAAGATGTTTAAAGGACGTTGTAATTAGAGTAAATTGTTTATGTTTCATGTTTCTTGAGAGCAGAATTTTAAAGCTTCTTTAAAATGACGTTAAAATAGTGGTGGAAGTGAACTTCGAAAGGAAAATAGTATATTTTCCAGTAACAACGCTATACTTACCCCAGTACCAAAATAGTAGTGACTCAGTGACTCGTTCTTAACATGTATTACATTTCTTTTAACAACACCTTGTAATAAAAAAAGGGAAAATAGTAACAGATCTTTCCCACTTATACGCTTGTGACACGCACTGACACGCCTTAGATGGAAACTAAGACTTTGTTGTGTTATTGATTTTGTTCCTTTCTTCTTGTCAATGATTTTTTTACTATGTTTAAATAACCCGTTGTCCAACAAATAAGGTGAATCTTTATTTATTCTTCCAAATCAATGAAAAGTTCTTTTCCGCTATGGCCTTCAGCGTTTTCGTCAATTCGGCCTTTATTTGCTCGATCAAGTCGAAACGGTGTCCACGGAGTGGTCGTTTGAATTTAGAGAATAGCCAGAAGTCACACGGTGCTAAATCAGGCGAATACAGTGGTTGCGTAACGATATGAGTTGAATTTTTGGCGAAATATGGTCTCGAATTGTCAATACGTGTGCGCCGGTGCGTTATCATGATGTAAAACCAAGAATTCTCTGTCCATTCTTCCGGCCTTTTGCGACGAATAACATCACCAAACGACGCATAACACTCAAATAATATTCCTTGTTAACAAGTTTGGTCAGTTGGAAAAAATTCATAGTGCACTACGCCACGATAATTAAAAGGAAACTGTCAACACGACCTTGATTTTTGAGTGACTTTGGCGTGGTTTTTCGGTCTTGGTTCACCTTTTGTACGATATTCACTCGATTGATCGGTTGTTTCCGGGTCGTAAGCGTAGATCCAAGTATCGTCTCCAATAATGATGCGTTTCATGACGTCTTGGTTGTCAGAAAGTTAAGCGTTTTTGGAACCAAACGAGATTAGACGTGTCTAAGGCACAACAAATCATTTAAAATAGTATTTGCCGAACCTTTTGAAATGCCAACAGTATCAACGAGGTCTCTTATTGTTAATCGATGGTTATCGAGCACAAGATCTTTGATTTGATTAACGTGTTCATCAGTTGACGTTGATGGTCGTCCGAGGACGCTGTTCGTCCTTAACGCTTTCTCTACCTTCTTTAAAATCTTTGTACCACTTATAAACACTTTTTTGCGACATAACCTATCACTAAAGGCCTTTCGTAACATCCTCAACGTTTCCGCGGCAGAATATTCATTCCGCAAACAAAATTTAATGCAAATTCTTTGCTCAACAGAATCGGACATAGTGAAAATCGATAACCCTCACTTTCGTATGTTTACAAAACACGAGTAGCTCGAAATAATTGAATATATTGACTTGAAACTCTGCTATAGTACTACCAACCTACAAAAAATAATTGTATGCTTTCATAATACCCGCGAATTTTAAATCCGAAAAATCCGAGTCAAATTAGTCACTGCTTTCATATAATTGAAATGTCATCTTGACAATTCCCAAATCTGGATATCTGACAAATTTTAGTACTGGTATTATTGGATACGAAAGTATGCCAAAAAATCGATATTTCAACGCTCAGAAAATATATAGAACAGTTAGTATGGAGACGCGATCAAAATAACTGTCAAATCTTTAATCTGTGTGTCAGTTTTTGTTTTTTAAATGCGCTAGTCAAACTAGTCTAAAATTAATACCCAACAAACGTCCTCTACTTTCTTTCACTCTAATACACATAAAATATTGGAACGGTTGTCTGAGATTACGAAGACCATACCATCTTTGTATCTTTTTTTAGCGCGTTTAATAATGAATTTACGTCCGCAACGACTGTCTTTGATATTAGGTCACACTCGAGACGTAATGACAATCTTAAAACGGTTCTAGTGTAATTTACCTTATTTTTTTGACAGTTATTTTAGCTGGTGCATCCTAGTGTTTGAAATGGGGGAAAAAACCTTGTTCTTTCTCGCGCTTTAGCGTTGTTACTGGGAAATAAACCTATAAATTACCCCACCACACTACTCGACTGGCTCGACGTGTTATCTCAATTGTTGGAAAGAAAAATATGTTTTTTTGCACATTAACCAACTACATGTGTATATACTTTCTGAATATGAATTTAAAAAAAAAATAGATGCTAATTCAATCCCATTGAGTAAGCTATAGACCGGAGACACCCTGTAAATTCTGCCGTAACCGGTAGAGTCAGCGAAATTAATAATTAGTGTAGTTTTTTTTTTGTTTATCTTTCTGCGGCAACTGAAAAAACCGACATAAAAAGCTTAAAATAAGCGTAGCGCCGGGAGATGTGTGGTCGTAATACTCCGCTCTGTACCTCCTTCTTTTCCTATTAATAGATGTGACTCTCCGATATACATTCTACACTGTAGTGGCTTCATTAGAATGAACTGAATGTTTGATGTTTAGTTTTAGTCTTAGACTTGCCCTCTCCCAGCACCAAAATTTGCAATATTTCTCGTTATCATCCGTACCGTACCCCCTCGATGATATGAAGAAGCTCTGGAAAGCCGTCAGGCGGATAGCTAACGCTAAATTCGACGTAAGATTACCAAATACCAACGCCAACTGCGTTCTGTTTTTATTAGTCCGCGTTTTGGTTAGACAGAGAGTGCGTCCGTCAGTCGTCGCGATTTCTTCTGTCAATCCTGACGTTTCAGGTGCAGTCGGACGCGTTGAGTTCATTGTTGATCCGGTAAAACATGTGTGTCGCGGGGATGGAAGAAGCGCTTCCATAATGTAAACGGTGTAGTGTCCGAAGTGTGGAGGATTTTCAATTCAAAATAAATCTAGATTTTTTTTTGTGTCCGCAAGCAAGTACATCTTTCGATTTAAACAGATGTAAGGTTAACAAGATTTGTGGCGATGACGTGTGCAACGTTTTAAGGGAATAGTTCTCAGGTAAAAATAAGCGAAAAAGTTTGTACAGTGTGTTCCCGTAACGATAGGTCAAAAAATAGTTTTGTAGTTGCAATTTGTCGTTTAGGATTTGGCCCTGTTCGGATATAAACTGATTTGTGCCACATTATTTCGATAAATGAGAAAGCTTAATTCAAATTATTTTGGTAATACGAATCGATGCTATACTTAGAACAAGAGGGCACTACCATAATGGTGAATAGTACATACTTTTTTTCTAGCACTTCATCCACTAAATGTAACTTGATAACTTATCAGACTAATTGACTTTATCGAGGCCTACCTATTTTACAGTTAAAACTAATTTACCCATGTCATGTCTGCAAGGATCGAAGTAAACATTTTTTAGTGCCAGTGTTCATAAGTTATCAACTTTAGCTAATGATTTTTGTTTTATATCTGAAAAGTTAAAAGTATAAAGCGATGGATGGGGATGGGTTAAAAAGTGATTTATTTGAGGTAAATAAGATATTTGCTGGTACTGTCATTAAAAAAGGTTGTCAGAGAGAGTCGCAATTCAATGGTGTGCCAAGCGGATCCACCGAGGCATCCCTGAGCCGCTACCTTATAACGCTTTTCAGGTGATAAAAACTTACTAACCAATAAATAAAAAGTTTAAAAAATTTTTAGCCCAAACAGGCTCCTTTAGCAAAATATTTTTTATTACAGCAAATATAATGTTTTATTAATAACAAAAGAAATAGTCTCATAATTAATCGTCGTGTTTTTAATAAAAATCAGTTTATATTAATATGCTTTGATCAAGGCATAGGTATCAACAAAAAAAAATATGTTTCTAATTGCATCTTTCGATGGCAGTACAAAAAATTTTAAAAGTCAAGCAAAATATCGAAATAAGCTTTGAAACTTTGAAAACATATTACAAAAAAGGCATTTTCCTGTCAAAAAAAATGTATTTGATTAAATAAGACATCTAGTTTTTTGAAACTAATAATAGAGACAAATTAGTTTATAACCAAGCAGGGTTAAATCCAAAAAAAAAAATGAATTTGAAACTTTAAAATTCATTTACTTCTTTTACTAATCGTTACGCCAAACCGGGGACACTCTGTATAATCCTTGCTTTGGAAGTGCCCTGTTTCCGTAATATGGGCCTTTAATTTTATAAAGAATGTCAAGTACGCAAATGCTTCAATCAACATTTGGTATTTACAAAATCATGCTAGTAATTCTGTTTTCGTTAAAAAAAAAATCCTTAAGTCAAGAATACATTCGTTTGCTTATGTTCGTATTAAAATACCTTGAATGAAACAATTTTTCTTTCTTAAATGGAGAAAGTTTACTTAATTCAAGGTTGTAATAAACGTATGATTTATTTGCGTATATACAGGGAGTTAATTTTTTACCCTGTCGAACTTTATTGCTGTTTTTCTACGTCGGAAATCAATAAAAAAATTCTTATGTTTCCGGAAACGATTCGTCGAGATACAGGATGTTAACATTAAAAATATATACATCACATTTATTTAAATATGACTTAAGATGATTTATAAATCTTGATCTTAATGACCATGGACGAAAATTTGTATTGGATACGTTATTGGATTTGTATTGGATATCATTTAATGCTTTATGGCTACGGTATTTCCAACAAAAAAAATATTTTTCCTAATATTCGGAATATGATCATTTTTAATTATTATTATTTTTTTAAATTTAAATATGCGCGATATAGTTACAGTTCGAAAATAACAAAAACGAGTAAGGTACTTTTTGTCAGAAATACAATTGTAGATAAGACAAAAAATCGTTAGCATAGTAATTTTAAATTTTTTAAGAGGGTACTATCTATCCCTTAGATTTTAACTTTCTAAGGCTTAGAAAGTTAAAAATTCCTACACCAACAATATATTTTTTAACTTTTTCTAGTTCTATTAAAATTGTATTTCCCGTAAAAAATTCCTGTAATTTTTTGCGACAGGAATAGTATTGGAGGTATTCTCCATTTATCAGGTGTGTCTTGGACTTTTTTTATATAAAAAAAACAGAAATGTCTCGTTTTTTTCTAATAAAATGAAATTTTTTCATAAAAGTGCAAACTAATATCCAATTTCCAAAATATTCAATAGTGTCTAAATTCAAGAATCTTAATGATGGTACTTATCAGTTTCTCTGCTACTGACTGATAGATTGTGAAGCAACTCAGTACATTTCTGTCATATTAAGTTTTATACAAGTTTTATCAGTTGAGTATTTAAATAAATGTGATATTTTAAATATATTTTAGCATCCTGTATCTCGGAAACCAAGCGTATGTGTATAGAAACTTTTTATTTGATTTGCGACAGAACCCACTATTAAAGTTTGGTATATCGTTAACACTCTGTATAAACATTTTGTAATCTTGAATTAAATAAAATATTTACCACTAAAAAAATGCCTCTCACGTAAATAAACAAACTTTGATTGTTACTTAACTCAAGGTTATGATATTTTAGTACAAATATATGCAAATAAGTGTGTAAAATTTTTATTTCGTCTTGAATTCAACCCCTTTCATATGACTTTTTTTTAATATTTGTATATTAAAATAATATTTACGAAAAAAAAAAATTAAAGTTTTCATTAGATTCTGGAAGATAATTTCTTTTTATGTTAAATTAGAAATTTCGGCCTTTTCGAAAGAATTTTAATGAATACGTTATCTCAAAAAAATAACCAAGTCTGAATAGAGTTCATAAAAAAAGTTAAATTATTTATTAAAAAGCAACAAATTAAATTGTCTACAATACTCCACCATAAACACCAACGGATGGGAATTTATTACGCATCGTCTGCACGATAACAAAGTCAACAATATACTAACGTGACGTGAACGTGAAAAGCATTCTGAGGCAGCGGTTCGCGCATGTCTCGGTTGATCCGCTTGGCACGCCATTGAATTGAGGCTCTATCTGACAGCCTTATTAATAAATAACTTAAAATGAAAGATACAAAATCTAGACATGTGCAACGTTATTATAAGACTAAAAAAAATAAAAATAAAAACAGATTAGGTCAGGTTTTTTGAAGAATCTGCTATCAGATTGAAACAATCATATTTCCATTCATTTTTTAAACTTATTTGCATTGCAGCAATATAAAATGTCTTTATGTATTGTTTATTTAGATTTAGTTATTATTTTTATATATTAATCTTGTTCAGATTAAATAATTTCTTTATGTTAATCTATTTGTTAAAATTAATTTAAGAAACTGTAGTTTTTATTGTAAAAATAGAAAAAAAGTGTAATTGTTATGCACCTGTCTCAAAATATAAAAAAATTTCAAAAAATTGATCGAAGTATGTAATTTTTTCGTAATTGCTTTAACAAATTTGAAAAAAATATATAGATTTTTCAAACCTAGTTCACTGGTACCTAAAATGCAATTACTAACATTATTCTTGGAATATTTAATAAAATATGTAATTTTTTTGTATTTATTTAGAGACAAATGGTTCATTTCTGGCCTGATATTTGTATGAACTTTCAGCTTATTTTTATTTAAGAAATATTCCCTTAAACTTTGTGAACTTTCTCAAGAGATACAGTGTATAGTAAATGAAAACAAACAATATTTTTTGAAGTACGATGGTTTTTCGGGTTGTTATATCGTGGCCTATGTACCTGGTTGCTGCCAGATACAGAATTACCATACACTTAGCAGGGAGTCTTTGTCCTGCCTTTGTTCTCAGCCCAGGCTTTTTGACCTCAGTGTCAGAACTCCTAGACCTGTTCTGAAATTTATTTCAGTTCTTGTTGGTTCTACGGAAAAAATTGCTCCTCACAGATGGCTTCTGTAACTGGTCGCATCCAATTCTTCCGAACGTTTCTACATTCTTCACTGTCAGTATCTTCAAAGGTGACTTTACAAAAGACAATTAATTGCTCGTTAAATTTGGATGAAAAATCCGGAAAATCCTCCACCGTCACCAACCCGCTCTCACTCCTTAGCAGAACCGTTCCCCCTTTTTTTTTCTACACCAGCTAAACTTCTCCATCTGCCCGTAGGTGCTGCCCATGTCCGAGGAATTCCGGAGGGCATTCTACTCCTCCTCGGCGGCGCCCTCTCTCGACATAGAACTGTCGCCGCCCGACCTAGTCGGCACCACCGAGATCCTCACCGACTACCACCGCGAGTGCTTGTGCCGCCACCTGCCCGCCAGGGCAGAGGGCTACGCCTGGACGCTGATCTTCAGCACCAGCCAGCACGGCTTCAGCCTCAACTCCATGTACAGGAAGATGCAAAAGCTGGAGTCGCCCATCCTGATGGTCATAGAAGACACGGACAATAATGTGAGTAAGATAAAGGGAATTTAGGAAATTTTAGCGGGATTTGCTGGAGTAGTTCAAATGACTCAGTAATGATATACGCATGTAGAGAGTACCAAATAAATTTTTTCTTTGTTTAGGTTTTTGGTACCCTAACCTCCTGCGCCCTCCAAGTGTCGGACCATTTCTACGGCACGGGCGAGTCCTCGTTGTTCACCTTCACGCCCGACTTCAAGGTCTACAACTGGACGGGGGAGAACCTGTACTTCATCAAGGGCAACAACGAGAGCATCAGCATCGGGGCGGGCGACGGCAAGTTCGGCTTGTGGCTGGACGGCGACCTTTACCTGGGCCGTTCCGAGTCGTGCAAGACGTACGGCAACGAGCCGCTCACGCCCAAGATAGACTTTGTGGTGAAGACTTTGGAATGCTGGGCCTTCATATCCAATTAGAATCGTTAGGGAGTCACGACGCGGAGTATATCGGGGGTCGATTTTATTTTTACAATTTACATTAGAGGAAGCTTTAGACGTAGAGCGACACTATTGCACAATTGTTGGTGAAACAAAAAAAAAAGTAAAAATATAGCTTCAAATCATTATTACCGGTAAGGATGACGGCTGCCGTTCCTTTATATATTATATATATCCGAGTTGTTCAAATTAGTTTGTTATGGATAATGTTACGCTTAACTAGATCATTATGAATAACTGTTATCGTATGTATATTTAATGGTACCTTGCGTGCAAATTTTAACGTAGCCTTTTCTTACTTTTCATTAGGTGGATTACTGCTCTTGTTTAGTTCACTAGTCATTTTTGTATTGTTAACGTGGTGGAGCGGGTGAGTTTCCAGCGAGCCGTTTCTAGTGCGCGCGCGCTTGCTGTGTCACAACGAATGACTGGTCGGTTGGCGGCACCGGAAACCGTCACGAGGGAATAACCGTCGTAGTGGCGCCTGGTTTAATCTTTTTTGTTCCACTTCTTCCCTTCGTTTTAAATAGTGTCGACCTGTCAAGCGACGAGACTTTTCACGCCGATTTCTTTTTAATCGTACTTTCGTGGTCGGTTTTTGTCAAAATTATTTATTTTCAATTTTGTAACACTGATTTTTGGAAGTCGAGTTTATTTTCACGTTATTTACAAGGTAGTTCAGACAAACTCGTTTATTTTTATTATTACCATCGCCAAAATAAGTTTTTGCAGGTACTTTTTTTTTCATCAAAAGCTAAAATTGGTTCAACAAAATTGAAAAAATTTTTATCTAGTTGCAACAATTTGCTCCAAAATCACATTTATTTTGAATTTTCATTACTCAAATTATATAAAAAATAATAGAAAACAACTGTTTAATATTTTCCACCCTGTATAGGGTGTCAAAAATATTTTGGGAAATTTTCTCCAAAATGGTTGAAGGTAATAAAAACCTAAAACTGTCATATTTTCAGTGGCTGACTCAAATACGGGTTAAAAATATTTTATGCGGTATTTTTTTTTTTCTCAGAAACGTACCCCTGACATTCAGTTGTAAAACTTTTTATTATTTCAAGATATTGCCAAAAATCATTTTCCTGAAATTCTTGACTTCCTTATTCGCGTAAAGTCATTGATTTTATGCAAGAATTGGGCCACTCTATAAATATATTTGTAATTTGTCACATAAATTTGATTCACTCTGTAAAATAACTTTAGGCGTGTTTGTTTTGAAGGAAAACATTGAATCTGAACTGGTTTTTTGTGTATCAAGGCTGAGAATTTCGGGACAGTGATTTTCGACTGTTAATACCTCAAAAATTGTTGAAAATTAGAAAAAAAAATAAAATGTAAGAAGTACTTTCCAAAGGCATCAAAACAGGAAAACGTTTTTAAGGAAAACAGTTACCAAGTTCTGTCAGGCGCTAATAGTTTTTTTATCCTATTTCTCAGGATATGTATATCACCCTGTATATTTCATAATTACAATGAAATTTTTACTTATTCATGATTCAGTGATGTTAAACAGCAAGTAAACTGAGAACTATTACTTTCAATAGTACCGATAAATTATTATTAAAATTAAGACGTTTGAACTACTTGATCTGATTTTTGACCTGCACACTAGAAATTCATAATTAATTTAAAACGAACAACATAAAATGGATTTTGAGATAAATTGTTTCAACTAAATCAACTTTGGATCAATTTGAATGAATTTCTTAAATAGCATTCGAGTGTTTAGTAGAAAAAAATTTATTTCCAATTTTTAGCCACAGATGATGACAATAGTAAAAGTAAACGAGTTTATGAGGTTTGTGTATATTAATTTATCTAATTTTTTCTCATCGTTTTTGAAATTTTGGAAAATGACACGAAAAAAATGTTAATTTTGCAAATGTCAAAAATATCATGTGATTGGGCGCCAGTTGCCATTATTTTTTAAACGAAAACGATCGATCTTGTACCGAACTCTAAATTAAACGTGCATCAGAAGTGGGATAAAAAAGACGAGATTGTGGAGAGTCATTGGTGGTTTCCACAGTTGAGGCATTTACATTCTGGTTAATTTTAATGAAATCTACGCAGCCAGAGGGGTGTACGATTGTGTTGTAGCAATTACGGTGGGAGGGGGCGATGGGGGCTGTAGTTTAGGTCTATCTGTCAATTAGGTGCGTAGAGAACATGCCATATCAGTTGTCAATTTAATGATTTTAATGTTAGAGGCTGTTATGCGGACTGCGCGTCCGACACCCTCCAGTTGGCTAAGTAGGCTCTGCCCTGCGGAACAGACCTACCCTACGTTCAGCTTATTAGCGTGAGGCGGCAGTCCGTAACTATTACTATTATTAATTATTATACTTATACCTACCCTAGATTAGTTACTCGATGTCTAAGTTGTGTACTATAACATTTATTTAGAGGATATTTATCTGTAAAAATACTGTATATAAAATTAATATTAATAGATTCTAATAGTTGTATTTTATGTTTGTTGCTTTATTTATAAACCAGACCCACCCTCCCTGTACCTGCTGACATAGGTTACTCGGAGTTATATAACCTGAAAATATGTAGTTATATAGGAACGAACTACGTAAATAGCCACTTTTTAAATGATTTCTACATGCTAATTTGAGAGTAAGAAGATAAGAGATAAATATTAATAAAAAAACTGAACCAGTGACTTGACATATGCACTTTTAATTTTTTAAATTAAAAAAAATAAACGCAATCAATTCATCAAATAAGCCAATAATTAAGAATTTTGCATTTTTAGAACTAAATAGTGTTGCATTTCCTACTAAAAATTTTAAAACGACTTCATTTAATATTGTATTTCTTCCCACAAGAATGGCTAAAAATCATCAATTTTATCGTTTAGACCTAATTTTCAAAAATCAGTTTTTAGACATAGATAATTTCCATATTTACGAGTTTTTAGACCTAGATAAAACCAGAGTTGCATTTTCTACAAAAATGTTTAAAATCGCTCTCCGTTTAATATTTTGTTTTTTCCCATAAAAATGGCGAAAAATCATTAATTTTAACGTTTAGACCTAGATAAAATGGTACATGTACACGAAACAGTAGACCTAGATTAATTTCAAAAATCAGTTTTTAGACAGATATTTTCATATTTACGAGTTTTTAGACCTAAATAAAACAAGAGTTGCATATTCTACTAAGAATTTTAAAATGGCTCTCCGTTTAATATTTTGTTTTTTTTTTTCTATAAAAATTGCATTTTTCACATTTAGACCTAGATAAAATGGTTTATGTGCACATATACATGAAACATTAGATCTAGATAAACTTCAAAAATCAATTTTTAGACATATTTCCATATTTACTAGTTTTTTGACCTAGATAAAAATAAGACAAATCGTACAAAAAATATATATGTTTTTAATGGAAAAGATAGGAGATACTTATTTCTTTAATTGGTTTTTTACTACTTGCTATTTTAAACAATGCTTTTTAACGATTTTGATGCAATTTTTGTATCAATTTTTCGAATAATTTAATCAGTCTTTAATGGATATATTTAGTTACAACTTTCCTCCGTTGCAATAAAAAAAAATTAGATACATTAGAGAACGGACTGGATGGAGTAAAGCACGGTACTTGAAACATGTCCAAAATCCTTTGTGAGGAGATAACGAACGATCAGGAAGGAAAATGAGAAAACACGAAACAGCTTGGGGTTATTATGTTTATTTTTTGATGTTTTGAATGTTTTGACTCATACAAGTGTATAATTAATAAATATCTATATATTATAAAAACATAATATGTACAGACATGAAACGATTAGTGTAATGCTGTATTAAATAAAATATTACAAAGATGTATTAGGTAGAAAATTAAGGCTTAGGGAACTTACGACTTCAAGTATATGCGGCTTGATATATAAATCCAAAACGTTAGGTAATATAAGGCCACGGTCTAGCCGAGAGGTACTTCTCGATGTGCGTCACGCGTATATTGGTTCTAGCGTTCGTACATTTGCAGCGCACGAAAATGTCAAATATACACAAAACGCACAACGCGTCGGCTAGACCGTAGGCTGTGGATTGCAACCGGTCTCATCGACTCCTAGTGAAACACGCAATTCCATACGAAACCAAATCAAGCATTTTTTTAAGGCTAGTGCACCATATAAACAAACAAATATACAAATAGTTTAAGCAATCTTCATCGTAAGTGACTTACAAAATGGGCAAAGCGTCGACGCGGGCCTCCAAGGCCCTGTAATTTATTTAAAAAATAGCGAGAATTTCATATATGCGACGACCTTGGAGGCGGGCGCCGAAACGATCTTTTACCAAAAAACAGCCCTGCAATTTTTACTATTCTATATATAAGTATAATTGGAATGACACTAATAATTTTTATTGTTTCCTCCATGGACAAAATGGTGTACCCCGAAGAACAGTAAGCGAGCGGTACACGTTTCTCTGTGTTAAGAATTTTGCGGTTCCTTATTGGCACAAATAAAAAAAAAACCTCCGTCCCTCTTCTAAGGAAAAGAAATACAAAAATACTACAAAGAATACTTAAACGTACTTACAAAAAAAGGCACATAATACAAAAAAAAAAAAGGGAAAATACAACGAAATCAATAGACTTTCTGGTAAAAAAAAGTGATACACCTAATATCTCAGACGTTGCATCATTGGCATATAAATATTTAAATATTACGCAATACAATATTACAGTGATATTACCTACAAAATAAAAAAAATAGTACATATTAATCGAAACCATGCGCAAAAATATCGTGACAGACACTTTCCTACGCGAATATTAAAAAAAAAAAAAAGAAATAACATTTAATAAAGCATTAACAAAATAAAAATAAGTAATAAGATTAGATGACTAATTAACAACAATTATTTAAGACTCGTCGGTTTCGTTTAAATAACGAGAGCCATATCCTTTTTATTTGGCAGATTCACCTTCTTCCCTTGCCACAGCGAGTTGTGGATCGTAAATGCATCTATGGTCACAGTCAAGTGTTTGGTGTGGACTTGGGAGAAACATTTACCACCCGAATTATATCTGCAGAAAAAAATCGGTTAAACGACTCACAGAAGTACAATTTCACTTTTAAATTATTTAAAACGCCAAAATTGTACGTAGTGCTCATATTTTTTACATTTAAATAATGTTCTCAAAACCACAATTTTGACAATTTTATTAAAAACAAGTCACTGTCTACAATTTTGGGAACAACTAAAACGAAAACAATCACTTACTTAAAGAACTTATCGAACATCTTATCGTTGACCTGCTTGGGCCCGGTGCCGTACAGCTTGGTGATCTCTTCCCGCTCGGGGCAGTAGGAGTAGAGAGCCCTGAACTGACAACCGGCGTCCCTGAACAGGATGAGGAAGTGCTTGCTCTCGGACCGGTTGATCTCCTCCAGCACCCGCTTCTTGGCCTCCCGGTTGACGACGCCGGGAAACACGCAATACTCTACGGCGTTCAGCATGATGCTGCGGTTGGACTTGGTGGCCGGCTGCTTGTATAACCGAGGACCTGGAACGATACGATTCGTCCTACATTACCAACCGAGAAAATTTTGATCCCTGAAGTTTACACCGAAATCCCTCATTTTTGCTGCTTTATAAAATATATATACGTACAAATCTGATAGATCTGAAATATTTTTTTCATCACTTTCGGCTTTTAATGAAAAATATTTGTTACTACTATCTTTGAAGCACTGTGTTTAGTCTCTGAATGCCAGTGTTAATGATCTCTGATGTTGACCTAATTTAGATGAACAATCCACTTGATATGATATGACAACAGGCGAAAGCTAGGCGAAAAAAAACACAGCTAATATGTGCAAAAAATCTTACCATTATAATCCATCATACTACTCGGGGTAGAGCTAATATCACTGGAACCGTCATCGAACATTCTCCTGCCCTTCGACATGAGCCCGGGCAAGCTGCCCGGTCCCGAAGGCGACGGGAGATGCCTCATACTCATGCCGGGAGAGGGTGCCCTCCTGGGTGGCGTTGCTCGTCCCAGACCCGAATCCGTATCTCCGAAACGATACGCCAGACTGTCCTGATCCGTGCTGGAGCCTGCAGAAGACAGGGGAATTATACCTAGCCACATACGGCCCGGAAACACGAGGTGGTTATAAAAGTTTGTTATCCCGCTGAAACCGTGAACCATTTGGAAGAGTGTTTGTTATTCACTTTGTTCTTATTAAAGATTATTAATACGGAACTGTCGATCTGGTATGAATTAGTGATTAAAGTACTATAAACTATTAATATTTAAAAAAGAATTTCAAGCAGAAAATATGGATACGATGTGGCTATGTTTCCTCGCAAAAATTTATCCAACTTGCCCCAGAAATACCTAGAGTGCAATCAAATAATAAACAAAATATATCTCTTCGAAAATAACTTGCTCAACGGATAAAATTTATTTACTGATTTATTCGGCACTTCTTAAAATCCATATGTAATTCTGGGGCAAATACGAAACGTAATGTAATAAAATTCAAAGCTCCAAAACTGACAAATAAAAGAACAATAACTATAAAAGATTTAGCAAACCATAAGTGGCTTACGAAGCAAATTTAATGTGAGCGGTCATTTTTGCAAAGAAAATCTATTATTTGCATTGTTTAATGTGAATGAATCAAATAGACTGTCTAAATAACGGCTAAATCTGTTCTATAACTGTTAAAATTTAATAATAGATTTCGAGATAGTACCTTTCTAAGCGCGAAACTATTCTATGAAATCTGCTTAGAAAAATTAATTTGCGTAAAAAAAATACCAACGGTTGTTTTACAGGCAACATTGACAAAAAAATGTATACAGTCATCTGTTTTCTTTTACACAAAAAAGTCTTAAAATCCAATGAGATTTTTTTTCTCGAAATAGTCTCCTTCATTTTATACGTTCGTTAAAAAAAAAGAGACGTTTTTAATTTCTACAGAAAAACAGATAACTATAGCAGACCAATTTTACTAGATTTTAATAATATTTCAGTTTTATTGATATTTTTTAACAAATTCCCTTTTTTGGATATAATTTCGTGCCAAAAATGAACGAGTATAATTAAAATCTAGAAACGGCCTCACAGTAAATGGAATCAAAACAATATCAGCTGTTTCTACCCCATTTCTCCAGATATTTTCATGAAAAATATACACAAAATAAATATCACTTGACACGGGTAAAAACAGGCGGGAAACGTGTAACAAAAAAAGGAACTAGCGTTCATGTATATGTACAGTAAATGAACCATCACCAACTAAGTTAAAAAAAAATAACCTAACGACAAGGTGTGTAAAATGTAAACGGGGGAGCCAGGAATACCAACAAAGTAAAAAAGTAGGGAGTAAATTAAGGGTAAGACCGTCATGCCCCACAGCTCAAGACATCTAGCAATATGAACGAGAATACCTGCAACCAGGCGAAAGATCTGTCTTACCGTACAAATTCATCATAGAGCTAGACTTGCGCCCTTTAAAGTTTTGATAAGCCGAATACTTAGGTCTGCCTCGAACCTGGGCAGGCGAGGGGTCTGCAAAAATATCGTTAACATACATACACTACTCGCCAATCAAAGTGGTATTTGTTTTTTTTTTTTGTTTGTCGTCGTCGTCGTTCGTCACACAAACTTTTACCCCCATTGTGACAAAACAGATTTTGAAGCAACTAGTGTGGTTCTTACAGGGTGTTCTGGAGGACTTAGGCAGAAAAACGGAATTCGACGGCGACGATTGCACATAAAATTTGTAACTTAGCATTTCAAATTGGATTTTTAATAAAAAAAAAATATATTTTATCATTATAATTAAATTAAAAAGATTCTTAAAAAAAATAAATACAAACTAGTGTAATAAGTTCCGAGAAACAATCGTAAAATTAAAAGAAAGGCGTGTTTCTACTACGAGAGAAGCAAGCCGTTCGGGAGAGTCGTTTATCTACCTAAACGTCCATAAAGTAACGGGTGAACAGAGGGTGGCCAGCATCTAAATAAGTAAAGCTATCGACTCACCTTTCTTGCACCAAAATCTGTGTTGTACCAGTTTAGCCCATCTACCCTGCTCAACAGCTTAAATACTAAATCATAAAAAAAATGTATAACCATCCACAACACAAAACAAGTGTCAACAAATATATAGAAAATAGATGCAAAACCAAATCTTAAATGATATAAGTACAATGATAGTGGCGTGCGGTTCTACTTCAGTTCACATGTACAACACCTCAAAAGCTGCCCGCCCGTACTGCGGGGGGGGCCCTTACCTCTGCTGGTCTTGTAGGAGCTGCGCCGTCCGAGGGTCTGGTTGGCGCTGTGGCACGGGGACATGCCCCTGCTGTCGTCGGGGGAATCTGAAAGCCACCAACACCGAACGTTTATTTACAATAGCCCAAGCGCCGCCTCGTGCTCTCCTATCTTTCGCTTAACTGCGCCGGTTTTTTTTTTTATACAATGATTATTTTCTGCCAAGTTAGGGTCGTTTCCTCGAGTGAAATTCGTGAATTCGAAAGTGAAAGTGAATAGTAGTTCTAATGTCCAAACATTTCCACAAACTAAATCAACATATATTTTGCATCGCTTTTTAATACAAAACAATCAAAAATATAAAAATAACGAAATGCATATTAAATATTTTCAGCAATTTTTTTTAAAGATTTTAAAAATGGAAAACGACCCTATCAAGTCCCGAGTGTAAGAGCTAGATTTATTTCATTCTTCTTCAAAATTTTCACTGCTTTAAAAATTAAAAAATTGCCCAAAAATATGCTGATTATTGTTAATAAGAAAATCCTAATACAAGTCAGAACTCGCATAAAATAAATAAATAAAAGTAATATAAATATTATTCATCGTTAAATTTAAAAATTTCTATTATCTGTTTTAGCACTAGACGTCCTCTCAACGAATTTATCATTTCCCCGGATACATATTAGGATTTTCCCAAATTAAATTGGACGTGTACCACCCAAAGTAAAAATAAAAAAAATTAAAAAACTAAAACGGTAAACTGAAACACCCCAGAGCACAAACCCTACCATTACATCATTCCAAACAGGAAAAAATAAACACATACCGTCATGTTCACTCACAGAAATAAAGTAGGGGGGAAAAAAATAAAAACACACCTTTGTAAAGCATGCCACTGCTCATGCTTCTGTCCAAGGCCAGGCTGTCCTGAGAGCCTCTGTAATAGTCTCGTTTCATGGTGGACGGAGCATAAGCTGAATAACAGTCATGCAAAATTATAAACTATCCGGTGTCAACGAGGCGATCATAAAAAATAAAACCGGGGCCTGCGACAGCCAATCAGGATGCTACTAATACGGTGCCAATAGAACTAAATTATTTGTGCAAAACATGTGGAAACTGTACAAAATTCCTAAATTTTGCCAAAATTTATAAGACAAGTTTAACATGAAATTCTACCCGTGTTAAAAAAAAAATGGAAGATGAATGTTAATATTCGTAACTTGCTAAAATAGAATTTAAAATTATAATTAATATTAATTTCAAAAAAAATTCAAGTAAAATTTCCGTTAATTAACAAACGGAATAAATATATTTTTTTTTATGTATTTATTTATTTTTATTCATAAAAACAAATAATAAACGTTTATGCAAATCACGATTCACCACACAGAGAACCACGGGCTGAAAACCTAAACAGAAACATACCGGTCAGGTTGGAAGTGGAGCCCTTCTTGTCTCTACCGCGGGACATCCCTTCCGCCATCTGCACGGATCCGCTGTCGATGTGAATCGTTTTGGGCCGGGGTCGAGCCTGCCCTTTGGGACGCATCTTCGGTACCGGCTTCAAGGAGGATAGTTCGCTCCTGTCCAGCGTCTTTCCCTGAAACAAACACGGAAACGTTGCAAGTGGTTCCTATTGACATTAACATAATGTCTAACATGAAATGGTTTGGAAGAGCAATTTATTTGATAGGTTCAGAAAAGAGCAATTTTCATCTATTTGTACCATAGCCCTATGCAGTGGGTGTTCTTTATTATGGAACCAGGATCTTAAGGACTTTATCTGCTTTCTGCACAGTTTTTGTAGGTCTATAATTCCTCTTCTTTCTTTTCTACTTTCCTTACATGAGTTGCGACGTAGTTTTCTATTTTTTGTTGTTTATGTTCTGGATAATATGTTATTACTTTCTAAATCTATTCTGGACTATTTTATAACTTTATTATTATCATTAGACTCGCTAATTTTAACAAGTAAATTTTAAGCCCGTTAATTTTAGAGTAAAAGTCTGGGGAAAAAGTCCGGGGAAAAGTCCGGGGGAAAAGTCCGGGGTAAAAGTCCGAGGTAAATGTCCGGGGAAAAAGTCCGGGGAAGAAGTTCGGGGTAAAAGTCCGGGGAAAAGTCCGGGGTAAAGATTCGGGGTTAAGGTCTGGGGTAAAAATCCGGGAAAAAAGTCTAAGGAAAATCTCTGGTGCTTGGTAGCAGTTAAGGAAGTCAAAAATGGTCCGTTTTTAGAATAAAATAGGATTTTGTTTCTTAGAATCACCACAATGAGTTACAAGCAGTGACTTAATAATCAAATTTAGTAAACGTTTAGGTTTAATCAGACAAATCGTTAAAAAAATTTCATAGAAATCCGAAATATTTTATAAAATGCTTTTTTTTTGAAATAGTGTTAAAATTCAAATTTTATTGAATTTTCAAATTTTAGTGTTGAACTAAAAATTAGGTACTATGAAGGAGTAATCGAAACATAAACCGAAATAATGGCTACAAAACATTTAAATTCATATTAATTAGATTTTATGGATGGGGAAGAAGTCCGGGAAAAAAGTCCGGGAAAAAAGTCCGGGAAAAAAGTCTGTGGAAAAAGTCCAAGGAAAATCTCCGGTGCTTGGTAGCAGTTAAGAAAGTCAAAAATGGTCCGTTTTTAGAATAAAATAGGATTTTGTTTCTTAGAATCACCACAATGAGTTACAAGCAGTGACTGAATAATCAAATTTAGTAAATGTTTAGGTTTAATCAAACAAATCATTAAAAAAATTTCATAGAAATCCGAAATAATTTATAAAATGTTTTTTTTGAAATAGTGTTAAAATTCAATTTTGTTGAATTTTCAAATTTTAGTGTTGAAAAAAGTCCGGGGTAAAAATCCAGGGTAAAAATCCAGGGTATTATATTAATTAGATTTTATGGAATTAATACTTTTTACATTTGACCCTATATTGATTATAATCATGAGCGCAGCTAAGGGGGAGCAGGGGTGTGTACGGCCCATCCCAGAAAAAAGGTCTAATATTATCGTCTATCATGTCGGCATATCGACAAGTCTAAACGTGTTCAGGTTTTTCAAATTTTAAGCGGTAAGTTTGCGAGAGCTCTTTTTATAGCCTCCATAGAGCTCACAGCCCTGGGCCCACCCCAAGCAAAAATTTTTCTTTTATCATTTATTAATTTTTATCTAAATTCTAATGTAAATATTGTACTGATGGCAATATTAGGCACTGAGGCATTAAAATAAATAACTTAAAAAAAGTGTTATTTACCCACTATCTAACATCTAGCCCCTAACCTTTGGCCCTCTATTCACTCTAACTAAAAATAGAACATATTTACTTCAGCTCTGATTATACTAAGTTGTAAAGATGTAAGTTGCGAAAATAAAACTTGAATACCTCTGCTATAAACTAATTTAACAACAGTCCACTAAAAATCTGTAGTAGCAAATTTTTCACCAATAGTAGCAGTTCATAAGAAAACACCGACTATAACTGAAATTTAAAAAGAATTCTTAAAGATTCTGTAATTTCAAATCTATAAAATTCCCTGAAAATTCAAAACTGTCCAGATTTACATATACACCCTCCAATTTTTTGGCCAATTTCTTAATTCTGATGGACCAAACGCTAGTAAATGTTAAACAAGTTGCAAGGTAGATTTTATTAAAACTGAAAAAGCAAAAAATTAACTAGGTACTAAAGAATAGCATCCAATTTTATAAGACATATTCTTTTTTACTTTATACTTTGTTAGTACGGTTCGAAAAATTGTCGCGCCCGCGAAATTTCCAAAAAATTGAGACAAAACCGTAGAGCGTACCCAAGAAAACTATTACCCGACCTCAAAGGTAAACTCCGCCAACAATAAGCAAAACAAAATATTAATTACCATCGACCAATAGATGAACGACATGGTTATCCGGCACGGCGAACTGGCGGCGGCGTTATCGACAAAAATCGGCCCGTCTCGAAAGGGACGCGCGAAATCCTGCCGCCGGCCGTCGAGGAGCTTCAATATTGACTAAGAAAGTGGAGTGAACGGCCCCGCGTACATACGTGCACTTGAAACTGCCCAAAATACACCTAGTAAACAGGAAAAACAAAGATCCTGTGCGGCAATTCCTCCGACCGTACGTAACCGTAGGCGTAAAAATAGACGCCATGTGTGCGAAGCGCACTTTTTGTTTTCAGAAGGGTACATCCTGTGTGTAATGGCCAACAAGAGTTTTATTTTGTGCCCTGTCTGAGCCACGTTTATAGCGCGTGTATTCTAGTACGCGCAAGTCGGATAATACCATTCATTATAAAAATACTACATTTAGAAAAAAAAATCTTAATATTTGGAACTTAAAACGAGACGAATTTTACTAATCCATATCACTAGTACGCAAATTTAAAACAATAGGAGGAGGACACAATCTGATTTCGCATTGCAAAAATAATATATCTTAATAATCCGAAATTGGCAGCATAAAAAACTTGACATCAACCATCGTCCTTTTCGGAACAGAGTTCATATAAGACGGAACCCTTATTTTTTGATGTACTATATGACCGAAAAACATCAGGAGACAATTTATCACCACCCAGTATAACATTTAGAGCAGAACTATTTAGTAATTCTATTTCTAAAAGATTATTAGAATTATTTAAATATAATGCATTAAACAGAAAACCTACAAATTATTTTTGTAGCACTAGGTCGATCGAGTTTGTGCTACAAAAGATATTTTCTAGTTTGCTATCGGTAGCGCCATCTACGATATACTTTTAAAGCTTCTGTGTACTGGTGAGCATGAAAAAATTCCTTGTCAAATTTAAACTAAATGTGTTCAGGCTGTAGTTTTAAGTAGAGACTGACCGAATGTGATTTTTTTGGCTGAAGCCGAAGCCAAACTTCGGTTTACGGGTCACCTTCAGCCGAAGCCGAAGATATTTTTATTAACTTGAAAATTTTGATTAAAAACAAAAATATGATAACTTAAAAGTAGGTAAAAAATAAATGCATAATGTTTTGGAAATATAATTTAAATAAATGATAAATAAAACAACAAATTCTAAAAACACGCATAAAACATAATGGGTAACGGGTATTCTAAAAAAGATATAGACGAATAAAAAGCATGACTGTTGAATATGACGTCAAAGGCTTCGGCGAAAAGTTTGGCTTAATTTTTTAATAATAGCCGAATGTGGCCGAAGCTGATTAATCGGTCGGTCTCTAGTTTTAAGGCAGTCACGGCACGTGCTGATATTTAGAGTACAATGATATTTCGACTTGTTATGCTACGGCTGATGTACCCTGTCGCCGCCAGCTACAAACTTACAATGCACTTCCTCGACCTTACCTACGAATCTTTGACCTGTCCTTGTTGTTCTCGGGCTAAGCTCTGTGGGGTAGGACCCGCTATCAGAACCCCTAGACAGACCCTGACGAACATTTCTATACTTGTTGTTGTTGGTTCTAAAGCCGCTATGGATGGAACGACTCCACAGACAACGGTCGGCATGTACACCGGTGACTGCAAAAGCTTCACTAAGTCGCGATGAAGCTTTTGCAGAGTTACCACTGAAGATGCTGATAGTGAAAGACGAAGAAACATTGGGAAGCATTGAACAGGACCAGTTACAGAGAGAGGGCCATCATTTTCTGGGAAGTGGTCTGCCCATGGTTCTAGGGGTACTAATAGCGGGTTCGCCTGCACAGAGCTTATCCTGAGAAGGGCAGATCAAAGATTCCCACGAGGTTAAGGGAATGCAATGGAAGTCTATAACTGGTGGCGATCAGGTACATAGGCCTCGGTATAACAACCCGAAAAACCATTGCACTATAAGTATGTGTTAAAACTGGTTCATGTTGGAATAAATTTTGCATTTTTGAAAAAAAAAAAATCCAGAAAAAATTAAAATAGTTTCAAATTTTTCACGAATTTAGCAAAGAGTGATCGCAAAAAAAGCCATTCCACCTGTTTTTAAGACTTTGACAGAGGTGACAGGAAAAATCCTAAAAATATTCTGAAAATATCCAAAAACTCGTCATGAAAAATGAAAATGAGCATTACTTTCAGTTTTTCGAAAATCACCCTTATGTAGGGGTTGAAAAGACAAAAAAGTGAACAAATTAAGAATCATCAACAGTTGTAAAACCCCAAATATTTCTATCTTGTTATCAAAATAATATAATGAACGTGAAAATATCTAATTTCATATTTGATTCGGTCTTGTCCGGATTGAAAATCAACCCATACCTAAAGGGGTGAAATCATCCCCTAAACGCCTAAAAATGCAAAAAATATATTAAAAGTTCCAATTTTTTTCTTTTTCTTTTATACGTGGTACTACCTTTAATATCTAATCTGCAATCACTAGATCCGAAGGAAAATACCCCTAAATGAGGGTAAAACCACCCCTAAGTTCAAGCAAAGTACATAAAATAATTATAATGCATGAAAAAAATAATGTTTCGAAATACATTAATTAAAATAATTTATACACAAGTACTCCCATATATTATCAATTATTTTCTAAAATAATCATCCCTCTCAAGGGGTAAAATCATCCCCCAAATATACAAAAATTGTAAATAATGCGAAAAAATATTAT